TCATGACAGCCTTTTCCCTTCAATGAAGGAAATAACAATCAAACCAAAATGTTTTAACAGGAGTTTTCTGTCCCAGAAGGCAGCCTGGCACATTCTTAATTATCAAGTTGGGATACTGGATAGAACTAAACTCTTTTATATTATACATTTCCTTGTACCCTTTTGTGTGGTGACACATGTGGATGAAAAAATATGATGTTTCATGTGTTGGTCAGAAATAAAGCTTGTGGAAAGAAAGTGGAAAAACCTGCACACTGTTGGTGGTAAGAGCAGGAGATCCATTAGAGTTTTCCAGCAGAGCTGTTTGCTCTGCTTCTGTCTCTTGCTCTGTATTTTTCACTTCAAAACCAGCTTGCTAAACACATGGAAAAAAAAAAAGAAACACTGGAGTTGAACACATTTTGATACTGCTTTAAATGGAGGCATGTTTTGAAGTGTCTAAACCCAGTAACCCCAGAGCATTGTTTGTGGCAGTCTGTCCAGGAGATTTCTCTCAGAGGATTTAGAGGTATTAATGGTGGAATGTCTTACAATCTCAGTTCAAGAACTTAAGCCTTTAAGAAATTCTCCAGCCCTGCTGACATTGAAAAGGTTAACTATAAATGTTTGTTCTTTTGTTTGATGGCAGTGTCTGAGCTGAGCAGGGACAGTGCTCTGTGCTTCAGGGCACTCAGGCACTGGGGTTGAGGCTTCTGCTGTGCCAGCAGAAATCTGCATCCAAGATGAAGCAGAGGTGTTTTCCTCCTCTTGGAACTCATTAAATGCACTTTACAGAAGCACTTGTCTGTTCCCTTCACCTCAGTTTTCTCAGAGTTAGGAATGCAAATGAACATTCCCAGGCTTTGGGCTTTTGAACTACACCCTTTTCCAGTTTCCTTTTTGATTTCTTGAATGATAAACACATATTTAATAGTTTGTTCTCCACATCAGGTTAATTCTAAACATTTACAGAAGGAAAGCAGGAATAGAAGCCTCTGTTTCCTCATACCTGTCAGCATTGTCTGACTGGAAAATAAGCAGCCCCTTATGTGGTTAGTGGTTCTAAAAGGCTTTTATTAATGCTTCAAAGCAGATCCATTTGATAAATATAACTTATGTCATTCTGTTGTGCATTTGTGTGGAAACCAGAATGAAGCAGGATGTTTTTAGGAGTCTCAGCATCTGGTAACTGTTTGTAAATATTTGATTCATGCTTCTCTACCTCAAGCAGGTTTTGTTCTAGCAACCACTGAAGTGAAAGGTAGTGTTTGCATTGATCCGTTGAATATGGGATCAGGGCAATATTTTAAAAAATCAGAAATTTCTTCTACCCCAGGGAGAAATTCTTACTGTATTAGATAAAAAAGAGAGCTGAGGAAAATATTTTTAACAATACATTTTCAACTAAATTTATTCTCCACAAACCAATGAAACAATTCTTCAGTTAACCCACTTGAAAACAACTGTGACATTTTGCATGAGCTCCTAAGATGGCTCTGGTTTACATTATACATTCACATTATCAGACTTCCCAATGGAGTTGGTTGTTTATGACCAGAACCATTAATGTGTGTGGTTATGTGGTTTGCAAAATGTGAGCCTGGTGCCTGGAAGAAGCAGCAGGAGCACACTGGTGGCATGAGGTGCAGAGAAAACCCTTTCTCTAGGCACCTGGGTAGATTCTGCCTCCTCTCACACTGTGATGATGATGATGATGATGTGCTGGAACTGAATCAGGAAAAGCAACTGATGGGGAAAAGGGAATGGTTTATTACTGCTGTGCTGGGTCATGGGATTTCTGTCACCTACTGACAGGACTGCTGGACTTGCCATGTGACTTCCAAAAATCTCTGAGGGAAGTGGCAAGCTAAAATTACCTTCAACCCAGTAGAATGTGCTGGATTGTGATAAAGAGAGTCTTGTAATGAGCTGGGGAGGCAAAAGGATCAATATTGTCTTCATCAGCATTGTGTGACATAGAGAGAATGTGGGGATTACAGCTGGGAAGCACCTGGACCCCTTCAGAGCCCGTGTTCCTCTTTGTGCTCCCTCTGTGCACGGACACAGCTGTGCCTTGTCCTGGTGGGGTTGGTTTAGGACACACTGCACTGCTCACAGCCAGATCTGTGACAGGCTTTGCAGAGGAGCCCACTGAGAGCTGCTGTGCAGCCCCTGGGACTGCCAGAGGACCCAGCTGCACTCTGAGGTGCTGCCCTGGCAGGTCCAGGGAGGGCTCTGGTGAAGGTGGACTGTTCTTAACCAGAGATATAAACCAGCCCAGCCCTGCAGACTGTGAGTTCCTCATGGATTTCTGAGAAGCAGCACTGCTGCAGCTGAGCTGGGGAGAGATATGGCTGAATAGGTTTGCTGCTTCTGCTGTGCTCAACCTCTGTTCCTGGTCATACTTTATTGCTTTTCTAGTCCAGTCTCATTTGGAGATGTATTGAAACAACTTTTCACTTGGGGAACTGAAAAGGGAACTGAAAGAATTACGGTCTGTAGCAGAACAAAAGGAGAAGCCAGTTATGCTGACAAAATAGAAATTTCACTGATTTTGTCGGTTGCAGGACACTGACCTGTGGTAACACAAGTGTGGGACAAATGTGCCTCTTGCTGAGCTCTGAAAATACCCAGTCAAGCAGCAAGCACATGGTAAAAGTGGGTGAAAATAGGTCTGCACAAAGGCAGGCTGCTGCCCAACTGCCTTGTGCTCTGGTTCTTCCTCTAATGACTTCAAAAAGAAGTCACAGTTATTGATTTTTTTTTCATAGTTAAAAATACCCCAGCCCCTGACAGTCAATTGTGGCAATAGTTCCACCTCCAGAGTGCATTTTTCTCATCCTGTTCCCTCCTTCCTTCTTCTGCTCATCTGGGAACAGCCCTGCAGCCCTACCTGAGGAGTCATAGCAGAGAGAGAACTGTTTGGGAATAGCCACAAGATGCCAGAGTTTCTGGACAGAAACCCTTGGAAATTCCAGTGTCCTAATTTCTCTTATATTGACATGAGGAGTCTTGGTCCATCCATGTGAAGTGAAAAAATGTTTAATTTCTAACTAATGAGTTTCTCCTGCCACCATCATCCATATAAGATATGATGTCCCATTGCAAACAGAACAGAGATTTTTGTTTTCTAGCCAAGATTTGGAAAGTTCTCATCCAAAACCCAAAAATCTGTGTACTGTGAGAGAGTGGTCCTTTTCCTCTTTTCTCACTCCCACCCAACTCGTGTCAGAACTTTTCAGTGCTTTCATGTAATCCCACTTTATCTGTGTTTTGCCTGGGACTGTGGTAAGATTCCTCCTCCTCCTCACATTGCCTACAAGCCTGTACAAGTTAATAACCTGCACCTCTCAAATTGCAAAATAGAACAAGAAGTCCAGCAGTTCCCCTGCTATTAAAAAAACCCCAGCAGAAGAAAAGACAAATCCTCTGGTGTCAGCACCCTTCATACTCAAGAAAGGCAAACTCAGGAGAGGCTCTGATCAGTGTGTGTTGTTCTCTATCCTCTTTCATTGACTGTTACTACGTGGTTGACTTTAGAGTTGCTTTGACATCCCTGGGACTGGGGCCAAAATGGAATTAATCAGAAAAGACTAGAACCATGCATAATGGGCTTCTTGTCAAACCACTTTCTGCTAAACTCAGCAGAACCTGAGCATGACAGAGAACAGGGAGGGCTAAATGGGAAGGAAATTGCTAGCACAGATGTTTAATGTGTGGCTGCAAACAGCAGCCTCCTCCTCCCTTTTGTGTAGCTCTGACCATAAAGAATACTCATGTGTGCATCATCCAAGAGCATCTCAGCCTTGAGTGATGCTGGACCTGGGAAGTGTGGTGATAGAGCAATACTGTAAGTTGTAATTGCTCCATTTTTGTTTGAATAAAACCTATTGATCCAGGGAAAAGCATATGCCAAACCTCAAGAGAAAAGATAGAGTTGGCTTTAAATAATTTAGAACATTCAACACTTTCTTTTTCTCTTTCAAGTAATGGGGTCAAATTCATTCCTGATCTGCCTCCAATAATTTGAAGAGAATTAAACCATTACTGTCATTTATTATTTGTGTGATTGGCACCATGCAAGACCCATCAGGAATGAATATAGTCCATTATGTTTTTGGATATAAGTTCTGTCTTTGGATTCCAGTGCCTCAACTTAAGCACTCACTACAATAACACCTACAGAATAATGGTTTTAGCATCCTGAGAAATAACCTTGGTATGTCCTCAGGGCTTAATTTTAAGGGACCTGAGCTTGCACTCATAGGCTGTAGTTGAAAATTACAGCGACAGTCCCCTGACAATGTGAAAACTATTTTCTGGAGCAATTTTTGATCAACAGAGGATTTCTTAATTAACTCCTTATTTAGCAAGTCATGCTGCAGCACATCAGCATATGCTGAGGTTTGTTGGTCAGAGGGCATTGCTGGCTATTTTCCCCTTCTACCTTTTATGCCCTCTCATGAATATGGAGAATCGAATAGGTTTTGGTATTATGGACATGTCTGTCCTTAATAAAAGACTTGCTGCAGTCTGCAAATTTGATACCATCCATTGCAGTCCTCTGCAGTCCTCTGAATTCTGGCAGAAGCCTCACTGCTCCACATCCCCTCACATTTATACACCCTCAGGTAGGTAACATTGAGTGCAGGAGTCTGAGTTTCCTCACCTTACCAGGTAAACAAACAATGTATTGTCTGGATTTCTGATGTTGGTTTTTTTTATCCTATGCCCAAAATGTTGATGAATGTATAAAATAACTTTCCACCAGTTTGCAGCATTAAATGTTGTTCCACAGAGATCATCTCTAGCCACAGGCCTTGGTGTGCAGACAAGTTTATTGCACAGACACTCCCTGCGTGCCCATTTGAAAGTTTCTTTAAATTTATAGGATGATTTGGCAAGTCACAAAAATTGGCTATATCCATCTAGGCTTTTCTGACAAAATTAGCCAGATGCAGATGTTTTCTAGCATGTTTTACTGCCACTAACAGCATTGTCCTGGGCTTTTGTTTCTACAGCCAAAACACCCCAACCCGGACTGGCGCTACTCTGCATCCCTGAGGGCAGGAATGCAAAGGTATGTGTGCTGTTTCTCCAGAGAAGGGGAATTGTGTCCTTTTCCTCTGTGAAAAGGACAAAGTTTCTTCTGATGCCCTAGACTGATGATAACTGTGCTGAGATGGAAAGCACCTGAGTTCTGCTGCTGTCACTTCCAATCTCTGTGTGCTACAAATTCAGTCTGACTTGCATCTTATGCTGTAGAGCTGTGCTGTTCTTTCTTTTTACCTTCTGCTTTTCTATCCATTGACTGTCAAGGCATAATTGTTCCAATTATTGAATCATTTAATTGTCATTATATACTTTTTGTTTATTTTAAAGCTCCCTGTAATCATCAGTGCTGATGTTTCAATAGTCAGTCTGCATTTCCATCTTCTTGTTTCTCATTACCATAAAAGTAGCTGTTCCTGCAGCAGGTTTATTAACCACATGCTGCAATCAAGAAGATTAATGCAGTTGAAAGGACTTTTTGAAGATATGAGATGGATTTTCAAAGAAGGAAAAGTGAAGCTTTTGTCCAAATCTCTTTAGACATCTTTGAAAATCCACTGCCTAATACCACAAGTAGTTTCTGCTATAATTTTCTGTAGAGCCTAAATCAAACAGTATTTTTGCTCTCCCTGAGCAGATTAGAAAACTGGTTCTATGTTCAGGTGTAAGCTGATGTGATTAATAAGATTCCTGCACAGGTGTAGCTGCAGTTCTGAGGCTGCAGCCATTCCCAGTGGCATCACAAAGTGCAGCGTTGCATGGGTTTCTCAGAATTGTTGGTGCAGGGGGGCTGTACCTTTAGCCAAGAGTTTTTATGAGACTGAAGTCCTAAATTCAGAGCCACACTGTGCTTCATGTGGGTGAGGACACAGAGTGACTCCTCTGAGATGCTGTGTAAAAAGGAATCTCAAGGGCCAAAACAAAAGGAGGACAGAGCAAGCTTGACTTTGTGGCCTACAGGGCAAGCTCTTTCTTTTATATTCCTGCTGTGACTTTCATTTTTTTGTAATCCATAAGTGCAAAATCAATGAACAGTCTGGGGAGCAGGATCCTGAAGAAGGAATTCTGCCTACCTGAGCACTTTATCTGCTGGTCCTGAGTCAGGCATGCTCTTGTTGATCCACATTCCTTTCTATACAAAGTACAAGACCTTATCTGAAGCTACTTGAACAATTAATGAAAAGTAAGAGCTTACTTTAATCCCTCAAGACTAATGGGGCCCTTCTGGGAAACTGTACATGTTCCTCTGCTCTCTCACATCAGCAGCCCCTGTCCTTACCTGAAATTTCAGGTTCTGAGCCTGTGTGCCCTGCCCAGTTGATGGTTTTCATAAAATGCTGATTTTTTCATAAAACTTGTAGAAATTTGGTGCCCTTGATGTCTGCCACATTTGGATGAAGCTGTCCCTTAAATTCAGCTGGAAGTGTGAAAGGGAGTGTGAAGTCCATGAGCAGAGACAGGGACACAGTCACAGAATCCTCTTTCTCTTAAGGAACAGCATATAAACATCATGCTTGGTTTTGTATTAAAAATAGCAGATTTTTCTTTTCCTTCCATGTAAGGTGTAAATTGGTGCTTTTGATGCCCAGTGCTCATGATGTGACACTGCAAAATTTGCTGTATTAGTTTTTGCATTTGAGAAAATGCATTTCTCTTCCTGAATTGCTCACAAGAAATGTGCAGTAACCCAGGAAGGTGGGATTTGTTAAAATGGCATAATTACACAAGCTCAGAACTAACTCCACCAACTTTTTAATCATTTGCCTAATGTTGCTACATCCTAGTAGCAAAGATGTGTCACTTCCTTATTAGGGCCTCCCAGTCAATGAGAGCAAAGTGTCCTGCAGGTGTGTTTGTTTTATAAGTTATTTTCCACTACTGGGATTTAGTAAATAATCAAAAGTATTTTTTGCAAGTCAAAGCAGATGCTTCTCATGCTGCTAGCATCATGCAGTACTGTAGGAGTAGCTGCACAGTGGTAAATAGTTATGAACTTTAAAGAGTAGCAGGAAAGGGAAGTGCTGTGAAGTCCAGGGCAGAAAGGAACTGGATAACCCAGTTGTGATATCTGCTTCCAGTGCTGTGCATATGGAGGAGGCAGGAGTCCTGCGTGGAGGAGCAGCAGGGCCTGACCAGCAGTGGCCAACAGTCTCCAGTGCTACTGCAGGTAAGGATGTGAAATCCAGAATATTTGTCAAGAACTGATGTTAACTGCAGTAGACCTCCTAATGCTGCTGGTTACTTTTTCCTCTGTTTTATATCTCTGAGTGAAGATCCTCAGATGAGCTCAGCTGGTCAGAGCATGGTGCTAATAACCCCAAAGCTGTGGGTTCAGCCCCTGTCTGAATTCCCATTCCCTGAGGAGTTGGACTCAATATCCTTGTGGGTACCTTCCAACTCAGAATATTCTGTGATCTGGATATAAAGTTCCTGTAAATTATTATGTGGAATTGAAATAGAGTGGAACAATAAAGCAGAAAATGCATCTTTTTCTTTACTCAGTCTCAAATGAGCCCTGGAGATAAGAGTCCCTGATCCCAGCTCTCACTCTGCTTTTGGAGGTTACTGGTTTGTGTAATGGAATAATGGAATAATAGTTCAGTTCTGATGAGTGTATTCAGGTGTGTGTATTCCAGAGCTGGTTTGCCCTCCATTTCAAAAGAACAGTAAAACTGGGGTAGGAGCTTATCAGTTTTCCCTTTGTTATTTTTATAAAGCCAGTAAGTCTCTTTGAATATCTGTTCTCATTTTACTTTTCTGTGGTGAAATCAGACCTAAATTTTTGCTAGCTGTTTTCATTCACTCATACATGATGATGGAAACTAAAATTTATTTGTCAAAATAAATGGCAAAAAGCATGGTTTAGAATGGAGCTTCATTTACTCTGTCACTGACTGATGACCTCACAGCAAGTCAATAAGAATTGGCAGAAGGGTCTCATGGAGTTTAGAAAAAAAAATCACCTGGATGTTTTGTAGTGCAGACAAAAAACAATATTCTCACTTTTGATTTTGGAGTAGGAATAATATAAAGATATAGAGGAGCAGTCAGTCCCTGTTTTCGGCCATTTTCAGCCAAACTAAACTGTAAACTCAGTGGATGCCCTGTGTAGGGTGGTGAGCCCTGTATGGCAGCTCTGTGAGCACTGTCAGTCAGGAACTGACATGAGGAGTGATGCCCATGTCACAGAGGCAGCTCAAATGCTGGGAAGTGGGGTCTCCAGCAGGAAAAATGATAATTACTTCATTTAACCTTTTTGGTGCAAAAGTTTCTTTCTATTTAAATGGGAATTTCACCTGGATAAAGAGCTGAGGAACAACCTGAGGGTTTGCAATCACAATTACAACATCCACAAATTAATGGTGCCCAGCAAAACCTGCAAAGGTCTTGCAGAAGGGCTGTTTGCAGAAACAGATTTGGGAATTAATTTAATATCTCATGGAGCTCGAGGCTATGATCAGCTGGGGTTTGTGTGCCTTCCTTCTGCTGCAGGCTTTGCAGGAACACACAGCCTTTGCAGAATATGAAGGGTGTGTGACTGTTGAGCTTGCATTTGAAAATGTCACCACAAGAACACTCCAACCTTTGCAAAGGCTTCCCTCAGGCTTTGGCTGCACTGATCATCCTTGACTGAGCACTCAGAGCTTTGCCTCATACCCAGTTCAGCATGGATACAAACATTCTGAATGTTTGTATCACCAGATGTTTGTATCACCAGATGTTCCCATGCTGGTGCTGCCAATTCCCAAAAGAACCAGAATCTAAGTGCAAAGGTAGGATGGTTCTGTCATCTGAGGAGGTCCAGGGGCATTTGGGTCCCAGAGCCCTGTTCCCCTGTCTGGAGTCCTGCTTGCTGTTCTGTTTTGGGTCTTACCATTTTGGACTTGCTTTGGGAACCTGCACATCTCTTTGTTTGAGCAGCAGTAACCCTTGGCTCTTATTTCTGCTTCCTCTCCTGACTTGTGAGGCACTTGTGCAATGAATGCATCCCAGCACAAAGAAGGTTATATTGGTTTGTCTGTCCTCTCCCAAGGGAGTAGTGACCCTGATATTACATTAATTAGACTTTTCTCTTTTTTTGCTGTGGGTTTCAGATAATATTCTTCTCCTGTCTTTGTAACCAAAAGCTTTAGATGTCCCTGATCCTTAACAGCAAACAGGTATTTGTTTCATGGAGAAATCTCAGGATTAAAGGTTGTGTTAGCTTTTGTAGCCTCAGTACATCACATATTTAGCAAATTATTACCACTGCTTTAGGATCCTGCCTACAGTTTCCCACACATATCTCTTTCAGTGCTTCTTTCCTTTTGTGGTTTAGGTTCAAGACCTGTAATAACAAGTCAAGTGTTAAATCCGTAAATCCTTAATTCCTAATATATGGCTGAACTCCAACATCATCACACATTTTCCAGCAAATATGTGTTGCCCAAGCAAAACCTGGTCCTTATTTGACTGACAGCATTCCTGTTGACTTTACTGAATATTTTATCCATGCAAAGAACAGTGAATCTGTCATTTTTAAAATTGTGTTTGCATCTTCTCAGGCACCAGTCCAACCCATTGCAGGTTTGCAGCTGGGAGACTTCTGGGTGAGGTGGGACAAGAAGGTTCAAACTCCCTCTGGCTTTGAGTTTAGCTCTCTGGGGCATCTTGTTAGTCCCTCACATGCTATAGAGTGAGATCAGGGAATGAAGACACATTTCTGGTTTCTGCTCCATGTCCTTTGGCAGTTTTGGCAATTCTATCAGACTTTAGATGACCACTAATGTGAATGAACTCTGGGTTTTTTTTGATAACTAACTCAGAATAAATGGAGCTTGATTGGCAAAAGTGGTGAGAGCTCATAACAGAAACTGATGAACAGAAATTTTGCTCTAGATATAAAACACTGAAGATTTCTGAATAAACCAGACTTATGAATAATTCAGAGCCTTGAGTTAGCAGGCATTAGACAAATCTATGTATATTTTCCTGTGCTGCTGGTTCCAATCTACAAAACAGAGCTGGTGTAATGCAAATGCTTCAAAATGCATTTTTGCTAGACAAAACCAGTCTAAAGATGCTTTCATAGCACATGTAAGACTCAGGAGAACAATAAGGATTTGTGATGAAAAACAATCATGAGAAATTTCAACTCCTGTATTCAATGTAGACTTGATATGTGTGCAGTAAATCAGGCACTGGGCCACACACTATATGTAGAGAGGGGAAAATAAAAGATTCCATTCAGACAGCTCTGTAAAAGAGAAAAGGATTTAATGATAAAATCTGCATCTGAAATCTGTGTGAGTGTAGGTGAAGCTGTGGGTGAATTACTGGCATCTCTGAAGTCCATGTCAATAGCCCACAGACTTTCAGGAAATTAGGACTTCAGTGTCTGCCCTCATAAATATGCACAAGAGACATAATTAAGATTGCCTAGGCAAATGCCATCCTAAAATACACTAATTTTGTACTTCTGATTTTGCTGTGGTAACATTCTCCTAAATATATCTGCTATTTCTTTTCCTTTTCTCAGGGAATTACTGGGGAGGAGAGGTGGTAACACTGTTTTACAAAGCTCCAACAGGTCAATGTCCTTCCTGTGCTGGGGCCCCAGAGCTGGATGCAGTGCAATTATTTCAGCTTGTCTGCGCTGCCTGGGCTCTCCCAAGGACAGAAGGACATCAGACAGACCATCATGGACTGCTTGGGAACACTGCAGGAAGAAATTGTTCCCTGTGAGGGTGGGCAGGCCCTGGCACAGGGTGCCAAGAGCAGCTGTGGCTGCCCCTGGATCCCTGGAAGTGTCTGAGGCCAGGCTGGACAGGGCTTGGAGCAGCCTGGGATGGTGGAAGGTGTCCCATGGCAGGGGGGTGGAAGAAAATTATAAATAAGATCCCTTTTTACAGAGCTCTTTGCATCTCATGACCCTAAATCTCTATCTTTCAGCATTTGTCCTCTCAAATTTATGTGTCTCACAACTGTCTCTCAACTTTCCTGGTTTCATTCCATTTTTCTGCTGTTCTTTACTTCCTGCCTGTGACCTTCTCACACATGCCATGCTAGCTGGGGGTATTCCTTGTCCATATAGTCCTAGGCTGCCCTGGGTTTACACTGGGAACTAGAGTTTCTCTGGAATAAATTTGTATTGGTCTCAGAGGAGGGTTCCTGCTGCAATCACCTGGAATGCAGACAAGGTCCATTGATGGGGCATGATATGCAGAATAAGTCAGGAATTCAGAAAACTAAATGTGAACCAACTGTGAATATGTCAAATAAGCAAAATTTCCTGAAAAGTAAAGTCAGTCTTCCTAGTGAGTTTTGTGCTGCTGGTTTGGGGCAGGGTGTTGTGAACAGAACAACTGTGGGAAAAATGGGAAGAAAGGACAGGGGATCTTGTGTGGATTTTAAGAAAAAATGCCCAAAAATGCCTTGATATGGAAAGAAATCATTATAATTACCCACTGTTAGTTGTGGTATTCCCAATTCTCTGTTTCACAGACTAATTTGGATGCCAAGCAAGTAAATCCAACCTGAACAAGAATATTATATCTGAAAGAGATACTTCATTCCAATGAAACTGTGAGAAGGGCCAGGATGAGATACAGGATGATAGTGCCAGGAGAAGAGATCTGAACAGAGAAACCTAAGGGCATGAGAGGGAACACTATAATTTAATGAAGAGATGGGACCACACTTGGGCTAAAAATTATTTGTTGCTCAGACAAACATCAGTCTCAGAGGCTTTGAGATTTAAGAGAGCAAGCAGTTGGGCATAGCTCAAATGGTCACAAGACAATATAGAACTTTCTAATCCAATGGACAGTTGCCACAAAGTTTATTTTGCTTTTCTAACCTATCCCCTTTGCTTAATTTTGCTGCATTGTGGATACTTTTATCCATTGCCTTCTGTCTCACATGCACACAAATGCTTCTATTATAACCTCTAAACTCTTACCTTACTCTATAGAACCACACCCCTACATTATAAACCCTTCACCATCTTATTAATACAGTTTTTTACTTCCTTAAGGCATATTCTTACTTACAACTATAGAAACATAAGTTTATCATTTTTCTGCTTAATGTCTGTATATTGTATTTTTACATCAATCCAAGCTTCTTCCAAGGATCAAATCCTTCAGTGTTTGTGGAAGTTTCTATCTTTCCATTTCTCACATCACA